AAGAGCCTTTATATATATCGAATAAATTTGTGAAAAGCAATCAGAGTGATTTGTGATAAGCGCCCACACATCATCCCACTACGTTCCGCTCAACGAGTCGTGTCACCACATTCCGGGGCGAGAATTCAAGGCGGCGGACCACATTCAAGGAACACCGGGGCAGTGGAATCTCTGGTGGTGGACGCGGAAGACCTTCCCTTCTTCGTAGGCGGGTTAAACGAAGTGGCGACCATTATTCCATGCTGAGGAACATATTCAAGGTAGACGCGGTATACGGTAAAGTCTTGTAAAAGCGTCAGAGTCTCGGTAAACTTCTCCAACGGACCTGCGCAGATGAGGTGCTTCGCCGATGAATCCGATTAGGGCACACGGTAATAATTGACGTCGGGATAAGTTCCGGTCACAACTTCACCTTGGAACCGGATGTGTTCCAGCACCCGATTCCATTTTGTGGCGATTCTGACGTCCGACGACCACCGGAGCCACAGCATCCACAAAGCGGACGCGAGGAAGTGGAAACCTCGACGCTGTCACCGAGCAGCGTAACCGAGCCTGGCCTGGCTTTCTTATAATAGGAGCGGCGACGACCTCGAGAAGCTCGTCGCGGAACTGCAGGCGGCAACAGGCTCGTCCTATAACGCGCCAATTGTGGCGCATCCCGTCGCAACAGCAAATTCTAACGGGAGACCGATACCCGATAGCGACGCGGTGATAAAACAACTCGAATAGAGATGTCGGTGGCAAAGGCGATCAAATGTATCGCGACTTTTATATTTTATTTCCTTTTTACGTTGTTAATTTTGAACATGGCCGAGCTAGTCATAACGGCATTCGAGTACATGGTACTACACGGTCAGCGACATGTCTATTTCACGTGATATACGTTTTATTTTGAGTTTTATTTATTATTAAGTTGAGATTTTACCACATTTTACATTTGTTTGCCACATTATATTTTATATTATTTGACATGTGTTTTTATTTTATATTTTTGGTCTAGGCTCAAGAAGCTATTGTGTATTCTTAAATTAAGATATTTTGTAAGCGCACGAGTGAATGAGCGCATGAGTGTGAGAGACTATGCTAAAAGCAGTTTATTTTATATCCCGAGCGAAACGAGTCACAAGTTGACGAGAAAAATGTACAAGCGAGATGAATAAAAGACAATTAGTCACAAAAACGAGCGATAGAATACTTACCTTGCGAGCGTACCACATGTTAGTCAGAACAGGAACCTGAAATAAAAAGAAAGATCATTAAGGCGATGCTGGAAGGTCGGAAAAATTTGCACGAGGTCGATATAGCAGATTTGTAATACCAAGCGCGCCACGAGCGCCACGCGCGCGTAAAGCGTTTATGTATCCAAACGCTAAATCATGTGGTAATGCAGGAGATCGATATCGATTTTATCGACATATCTTATCTTTCCTGCATTACCACAGTTCTGACCGTAAACATGTATTAGGGTGCGTTCTCACTGAGCGCGTCACGTA